TAGCCGTTGTCGCAGCTGGGCACGTCCACCCAGAAGTGTAAATGGATAAATCACAATGAGTCAATCGACAGGTCACGCGCGGTCGGGCAAAGCGCGAGTGTTTCCATCTCTTCCGAGATGTATGTCCGCTGTGGAAGAGGAAGCCAAATAACCTCTTGAGGGTGTTTAAGAAGAGCGATCACTCTCGAGTACTCTCTCGGTCATGGAAGTTGTTTGACCCTGCTTCACAAATACTTGTCGGTACAGGTTGATGAAGGGTCATTAAGAGTCTCATGACCGGTTCAGACGCCACTAACCACCTGATGTATAGCCGTGTCAGGGAATCGAGCTCATGCCTCCTGGGTTCATGGTGCAGTGCACTAACGAGTGAACACATTTTTTTTTGGTTTCAATTACCCCTAACACCTAGAATATCTGCCATGGGAATACTATTACAGAAAACAATCGTGATTATTTTGCGTAACACAAATTATTTATTTTCTATTAAAAAAAAATATACAGCTTTGTTAATGAACGCCGTCGGGTCGAGGATCAAGCGCGAACTGCCGCAGCGTCCGCGCGCGGGTGCCGCACGCGGACCGTTTTCTTGTTCCCCTGCGTTCGAAGGAGCGCCCGAAAGCGCCGTAAAAAATTCGGCGTGCACAGACGACTGTTCAGCGAACTCGGCGGCCGTCAAAGTGCGACGCCCCTCGAGCGCAGGACGCCTCGGAAACGCGACGCATCGTGGCGTGCACTTCAAATGCGTGCTTTTTTTTTTAATGAAAAGCTCCGACAAATGAAGGTGTTTGGTTAAAAATTCCAGAGAGACACCGACGAGGCATTCAAGAGAAAGAAAAAAAAAGCAATCCGCGCGTCGCGATAAGTTAATGAATGAACGGTGAGGCTGTGCATATATAACGGTCGTTTTTTTTCGAAGTCAAACGCACTAATTTACCAACTTGATTATCCCCGAGCAAGAAATTCACGTTATACTTTTTCATCACCATTATTAACTACGCAAGAGCTTGTTTACAGATCCCGCCATCGACGGGGTGGGCGATAGAGTGGGTAAACAGAGGGGGAGGGTGGCTCATGAGCAAAAGGTCGCGATTTCATACACTGACCGGGGATTGACTCAGCCCATCGTCTCTCCTGGGTTCAACAGAATGAGTATCGCTTTGATTTAAAGCTTTCGTGACTGCAGGGATGCATATTCTTGGTTCTTTCGGTAAAGTCACGTAGAAGGGAAACAATAAAATAAAAAAAAATATACACAGCTGTGGTTTTCACACCTGATGATGATTGCTTGTGTTGCAGTCGAAACGTCGTGAGAATTTTATTGTTTTATATTTTTATTATTTTATTGTTTCCCTTCTACGTGACTTTACCGAAAGAACCAAGAATATGAGTATCGCTTTGTTGGAGAAACCAACGGTGGATGTCCTATGGATACACTCATCCCTGCCACAGGAGTGTGGAATTTCCATCGCTTGCTTAGGGTTGTAAATGGGAGATGAGCACTTGGACTCTTTTGACTTAGAAGATGGATATAAGCACAGCCCTTGGGAGCAAGGCCACGTGTGCTTATATACAACGTTGTGTGCTTGTATCAGAAGTTGTCCTTTGACTTCCCCCACCAATGTGTTGCTTATATTGGAACCGTGATTTTGAGAGTGTGCTGATATCGATCACATAGCTTGTACACTGTGGGATTTATTTCACAGTTGCGCGGTGAGTTGTTTTTATTTTTGCTGCAAGGCACCTCGAGCCAAGGCTTCGCTGTTGAATGTCGACAGAGCGAGGCTGTAGCTTGCAGCCGGTGTGCCTGCGTTTTGCAAAACGTTCTACGCAACGTGCTGCAGAGAGATACGTACAGGGTGAGATGGGGCTCCCCGTGAGGGGGTGAAGTCTTCGAGAGGAGACGGCGGAGACGGCGTCAGCGATAGGCACGGGGGGAACCCACGGAACGGGGGTGGAGGGGGGAGCGGTAGTGTAGTGGTTAGCGCGCTGCACTATGAACCCGGCGACACGGGTTCGATTCCCGCTCACGGCCAACACCAGTGACGATTGTCTGAACCGGTCCTGGGTCTCCCCTAGGTCGACTCAGCCTCAAATGAGTATCTGGTGCGGTGTGTGGTAAACATTGCCACTAGGGAGACAAAGGCGGTCGGGCGCGGTGCTGGCCACCCACCCCCTCGTGTGCCGTTCCGGCCTTCATAGGTGCTCGCTAACAGCGAGCACCTATGCTCGCTAACAGCGAGCACCTAACGCTATATGGGTAAATCTTTGTCTTTGTCAGAGGAAAATGGAGCGCGAGAGAGCGACGTGAATAAAAGAACGTTGTAGTCACCCACTCTCTGACTGGTCTTCCTCACCACACGCGTATAAACTGTAAAAAAATACAAATACATACGGTGTGAAGCTTTATTTTCAATTTGACAACAACAACAACAACAAAATGGTTTGAGACGTGAGTATCACATGGGAAGTGATACGTCGTTGATTCGTCTTATTAAATTCCTGCACAACCATACTGAGCGACTGTAGACCCATAAGGTGGCAACCACATTTCAATTATTTCTAGAGGTAACACTTCTCAGAGGGAAGTGTGGAAGTCTGTGGTAGTTCACTTGGTGGCCCATTCAGTCTCTCCGAGCACCGAGCAATCTGCCCAGCTGGGCAGAGGGTTAGGACATAACCGCAATGCCTCCTTGTTGTTTATCCACATTTACCACTTCCCGTTCCGATGAAAAAATTTAACCATAAGAAAAACTAAAATAACTTCATCGATACCGAGGCTCCCACAAAAGGTCATGCGGGAGGGTGTGTGGCATAGTTCGGTGCCAGCTATCATAGAGTGCGGACATGTCGCTACAGTTATCTGCGGTGAGTACAATGTCTTTAAAAAAACAATGGCGCTACGGCTCTCGAAATAAAATTAGCGCTGTGCCTCTTGCGTCTGCACCTTGCAGACGTTGCGGAACGGGAAAGGGTGAAGATACCTTAGTTTGCTTACCTGAACTTTGTGCTGAGCGTGGGTTAGCATGAGATTGTTTGCTTGCCATATGTAATACCGATAAATGACTCAATTGGGATTACACATCGCAATCATTGCATCACCCCCGCCCCCTAGTGGTAGACTAATGCCCGCTTGCAAGCCGGATGCTGAGCCACCTTGTACCCACGGGGACAGCTGCCATTAAGGGGTTACCCTTTGGAGTTGTGATGTATAAGCACTTTGAGACAGACCCAGTAAATAGGGGAGCTTTTGCAAAAGCAAATAATCGTCATTATTAAATAATTGTTCACAACGCCACAGTAGAACGTCACGTTAAGGGTCACATGGTGTGTCATGTGACCCAAACGATTGCTGAAAAACATGATTGCAAAATAAGAATAGGTTTTGCCCCTTTCTGGCACTAGAACAGGTGTTAAGATGTTCACACACCGAATAGATTCCTTTTGCAAGGCATCAAGTCTGCATTAACCAGACGTACTTATGGCAAAACATGCAAACACACATACTCTGATAATGCATAAACCTATTCTTATTTTTTATATCGGAAGAGGTTCCATACACAATTGCTACTTCGATCAAATTTAAAGCCTTTGGCCCCATCCACTTTGCTGGACCCTGTCTTTGGCTGCCGGTTGACTTATTAATGGCCGAATAAATGTTCTCAAGTTCAACCTGGTGAATAGAGAGGAACGTTACCTGGCACCGTTGTGATGTAACGTAAGCGAGTCTCGGGTGTCCATTATTTTAAGTGACCCGGTGTGAATCCATACGGATACAGGGCGAGCCATTTGTTCGAGACCCCACTGATTTCTAATAGCCCTCTTAATTTCTTCTCAAGAGGTGATCGAATATCGAGAAAGCGATGGTTCTGTATCTTACAGGAGGAGGAAATGAGTGCTAATAGACGTAATAAGTTGCCATAACATTGGTGGGAGACAGAGGGTTTGAAATAAAATGTAATTTCCTAATTCCTTTATGATTTCCCCCGATTATGTTTTAGTGGTGTACATAAAAGTGGGGGGGGGGGGTTTGTCAGCTGGAATGAAGTGAAGCGCGCACTACCTGCTGTGACAATATGGTACAGAACATGGTCCTTGAAAAACATTACCGAGTGCGCAAGAAAGTGAGAAAATGTTTGCTTGGAATTATACTGAGAGACGGAGAGAGGAACACGTGGATTAGAAAGCATCGTGGGTTCAATACTTAATTCTATATATGTAAAAGGGAAATTTGTGAATGTGTGTCTGTTCGAAATGTTAAGCATACTTCCCAACATACATAACACTTGAAATTTGGCATGTGGGTAGTTCCCAAACTGTACACAATGCAAAACGTATAGAAATAGACTTTTGGATTTTTGGGGGGCGGGGGGGGGCGTAATAATGGATATAATATATTGCACAGCAAGTGAGCGGTGACGTCACATCTGTGATGTCACATCTGTGATGTCACCCGCATGCGGCAGCGACACGCAGTGTGCCTGCTGACGTAATGCATCCCCTCCCCACCCTCCGCGTAGGCCGTGTATTAATCCAAGACAAGAATCCAAGTCCTGGGCGAAACCGGGTAGTTAAGCTAGTTTTAAATAAAATAAATTGGGTTTGAGCAGGCCACCTCATGAGAAGGGATGATGGGACGATTGTAACGAATGATAATAAACTGGCAGCCAAGGAATGGAACGCATTCGAGAGGACATCGACTGAGAGATGGAGCGATGTCATTAGCTTGTGTGTAGGTGCTAGGTAGATCATTACACAGCAGGAATATCAGAGAAGGTGACAACTTCGGGAGACCTTCATCCAGCAGTGGTTTGGTCATGGCTGACATTGATGATGCTCTAAAACACTAATCACCCTGTAATATAAATCTCCCTGCTGGTCACGTGGGCTTCAAGGCTCAGCACAGAGCGATGACCTCGATGTTAAAAAGAGAAAAACGAGAGTCATTCGGGCACGTGAGCGAAACGGCGGTGGTGCACGTGCGTGCGTGTGGACGGACGCAGGAACTGTGCGACCTCCGGCACGCGTACGGGAAGCAGAGGAAGGCGCAGGCGGACGTGGCGGCGGAGCTGGCTCACGCTCAGCGGCGGGCGGAGCAGAGCGAAGCCGAGGTCAAGAAACTGCGGCAGCGCGTGGACGAGCTGAAGAGGGAGGCAGCGCGCGCAGAGGATGAGGTGAGGGCGCATCCGCCGCGACGCACTTGCGCACGAGCGATCGTCAGAAAAACGTTTGTGTTGACGTGGCTCGGAGGCCAGAGCGCCGGGGGATGCACCGCTGAGATGCTGGTTTTCGAATCTCGGGAGCAGCCCGTGGTTAAGTCGTTTCTTTGTGAAACCTTTGGCGTTCCGAGACGACTGCAAGTTGCAGGGCGGTGTCCCGTTCGCTGCTGAATCTCGGAACGAGCAAGCGGTTCAGCGTTATTTGTATTTGGAGAGGCGTAGCGCCGTTGTTTTTAAAGACGTTGTACTTAACCGCAGAGAAATGTAGCGATACGACCGCAACTCTATAATAGCTGGCGCCAAAGTGTGCCCACACGGCCTCCCAGATGGCCTTCTGGGACCCTCGGTACCGACAAAGTTAGGTTTTCCCAAGTAGCTGCCCTGGAAAATCTCTGAATCTTCCCATCAGTTGCCACTCAGGACAATGCATTTAACCTGCACTTCTCGCCTTCTTCTTAGATTATGAGATATTGTTCTTCCCCGTGACATGTCCCAGCTTTTTTTTGTATATCTTGGAGATGGTGACCCTGTGAGTGGATGGTCTCAATTCTGTCACAAAATGGATGCACGCAAAATACTGTCAGAGTATAAAAAAGAAACCGTGCATTTGATTGCGCACTTAATTCGGTTGACATTCCAGCTCTGAGAATTTGAAATATGGGATTGACCGTCACGCGGCGCACATCACTCTTATATGCCGAACGTGTGGGAAAATGCTGCCCTATTACACTGTACCGCAGCGGTAGAAGCTGTGGTGTCCGTTTCCATGGGTCGTTCTCGAGCACGAAGGGTTGCATTTCTCTGCGAGACTTCTAAGTGGATACTTGGTCTCACGATACGGCACTGATAGCACAATGGGGATGAATTTGGTAGAGAATAACAACAACAACAACAACAACAAAGGGTGTTTGTGTGGCCGCCAGCATGCGCTGCCAGTAGTGCAAGCAGACCCACAACGCTGCATTCTTCTTTACATGCAGGCAACAGGAAATTCATTACTTTCAAAATTATAATGGAAAAGAGAGAAAAAAAGTTCTGTCCTCTTTCCCTGTAAAATATTGCACTTTTATACTCATCTGCACCAATATTCGCATGGAAGGATGAGAGCACAAAGGTCAATTTGTTGCAGTTAATATGACAACCGCAATGGCTTTTTAGAAAAATCCAAGGTGAGTTTTATGGGCATTTACGTCAAATAAATAGTTATGACTGTCGTGAACTGAATGCTCATTTCTAATTTTACTTCAACACTCTTCTCCCATGCCGAATCGCGTCTATCACTTTACGAAATCTACCAACGCCACCGTCACACTATCGTGATCTTCATCATCATCACCATCATCATCGTTGTCTTTGACCAACAACCCGCTCACAGCAGATTAACTTGAATCGTTCTAAGAGGTTTTTTTTTTACTCAATCACAAAGGAACATTATTACAAAGTCATCCTGTATCAAGAAGATAAAACTAAAAGTTACTTTTCGGCTCCAGAGCTCAAAAAGTATTTGCCCCGGGGCTTGTCAAAGCCACCCATTGCTAACCTGACACTGCAGTCTACGCTGCAAATATAACACTGCCTGTGTGTACATGTGTAGTGACTTCGGGGATGTCACTGTGCGATATTCCTACGTCGTGGACAGCACCGGGTGGGTTGCTGTGTGAGGCCGGCTCTAGCACAGCACGGCGTGCGATGCACCGCCATCGCGTACACCCCGTAGGCGGGTGTAGTACCAGCCCTAGCGGGGCTTGGTGAGCGCTGGGATAGCGCGGGCACCACGCATAGCGTGTGGTGCGGCCTCCCACAAGGGGGAGTGGGAGAGTGTCGGCACAGGGGCAGGGTTGCCCCGGGCCATGGCACTCTGGTTGACCCCGTAGACACGAGTTTCCACAGAGAAGGCCCCAGGTGGGGGAACTAGGGGGTGATCACGTGTCCAGGGAGAGCTCTCGAGGGAAATAAAAGAGGGAGCTAGAACGCTCGAGAAGGCGGTCGGGGCCGAGGGTGGAGCGGCCCCGACCGGGAGGATATAAGGTGGGTCCCTGAGAGGGACCGGGGTCGCTGCATTCTACAAGCTGGAAGCTTTATGTCTACAAGCTGGAAGTTCTATGTCTACAAGCTGGAAGCTCTACGTCTACAAGCTGGAAGCTCTACGTCTACAAGCTGGAAGCTCTATATCTACAAGCTGGAAGCTCTACGTCCTACAAGCTGGAAGCTCAACGTCCTACAAGCTGGAAGCTCTACGTCCTACAAGCTGGAAGCTCTACGTATACAAGCTGGAAGCTCTAAGTCTACAAGCTGGAAGCTCTACATCTACAAGCTGGAAGCTCTATGTCTACAAGCTAGAAGCTCTATGTCTACAAGCTGGAAGCTCAACGTCTACAAGCTGTAAGCTCTACATCTACAAGCTGGAAGCTCTACATCTACAAACTGGAAGCTCTACGTCCTACAAGCTGGAAGCTCTACGTCCTACAAGCTGGAAGCTCTACGTCCTACAAGCTGGAAGCTCTACGTCTACAAGCTGGAAGCTCTAAGTCTACAAGCTGGAAGCTCTACATCTACAAGCTGGAAGCTCTATTTCTACAAGCTGGAAGCTCTACGTCCTACAAGCTGGAAGCTCTATGTCTACAAGCTGGAAGCTCTATGTCTACAAGCTAGAAGCTCTATGTCTACAAGCTAGAAGCTCTATGTCTACAAGCTGGAAGCTCAACGTCTACAAGCTGGAAGCTCTACATCTACAAGCTGGAAGCTCTACATCTACAAGCTGGAAGCTCAACGTCTACAAGCTGGAGCTCTAAGTTTACAAGCTGGAAGCTCTAAGTCTAAAAGCTGGCACCTCAACGTCTACAAGCTGTAAGCTCTACATCTACAAGCTGGAAGCTCTACATCTACAAGCTGGAAGCTCAACGTCTACAAGCTGGAGCTCTAAGTTTACAAGCTGGAAGCTCTACGTCTACAAGCTGGAAGCTCTACGTCCTACAAGCTGGAAGCTCTACGTCTACAAGCTGGAAGCTCTACGTCTACAAGCTGGAAGCTCAACGTCTACAAGCTGGAAGCTCTACGTCCTACAAGCTGGAAGCTCTACATCTACAAGCTGGAAGCTCTACATCTACAAGCTGGAGCTCTAAGTTTACAAGCTGGAAGCTCTACATCTACAAGCTGGAAGCTCTACGTCTACAAGCTGGAAACTCAACGTCTACAAGCTGGAAGCTCAACATCTACAAGCTGGAGGCTCTACGTCTACAAGCTGGAAGCTCTACGTCTACAAGCTGGAAGCTCTAAGTCTAGAAACTGGAAGCTCTATGTCTACAAGCTGGAAGCTCTACGTCTACAAGCTGGAGCTCTAAGTTTACAAGCTGGAAGCTCTACGTCTACGAGCTGGAAGCTCTACGTCTACAAGCTGGAAGCTCTACGTCTACAAGCTGGACGCTCTATGTCTACAAGCTGGAAGCTCTACGTCTACATGCTGGAAGCTCTAAGTCTACAAACTGGAAGCTCTATGTCTACAAGCTGGAAGCTCTACGTCTACAAGCTGGAGCTCTAAGTTTTCAAGCTGGAAGCTCAACGCCCTACGAGGCATCAACACGTGGTCGGGGACCCCAGTGAGGGTCAGACCCTTCGTAGCTGTAACTCCTACGTATAGGGTAGTTAGCTGGGTGGTCACCACCCTAGGCTGTATCTGGTAAAGGGGCAGTGACCCCTTTGTCTTAACGTGTTGATGTTACAATAAATGTGTTGCCTCTAAAGAGAAACGTCTGCGACTCACTTGGACTCACTGCACATGTACACTTGTGTCTCCCTACGAACATCTCTATTGACCCATGCATTCACTTGACTCGGAATGCATTTCCTTTGCACGAGACGTCAAGTTTTATTTTTACCTGTACGCTAGCGGGATGGTCTTCTGTTGTACTAGTACGGAGGGACACGTGTCGTAAACCCCGGAGGGTGACCTTGTCTAAAAGTGGGGCACGACATGGTGAATGTTAAATAAACTTTTAACAATGTTAAACGCTCAACAAGATTACCAAAGATGCGATCTCCTTTTGTTTATCGCGCATTCTGCTTTTAGCTCTCACCCACTCTGTATATGAGGGAAGTCTGTGATGCCCATCGCTTAATTTGCACAAGAAGGATTCAGAAGGGGGGGTGCTTGGGGCTTCAGTAGGGGGAACTGCCCACTCCAGCCCCGCCGACGCTACTTTTGCTGCTCGTTGTGTGTCTGGGTCTAGACCAGACACACAACGAGCAGCCTTGCACCCCTTTGGTTCTCAATCGTTCAAAAAAGTAGAATGTTAATAACTACAGAGGGTTCGATGAAGCAAAGTAGTTGTACTTACGTGCCAGTGCTTTATTGCGTTTCGATTATTTACCTTCTAAAACTAAATCTGGCCATGTCTCGCACCCCCAGAAAGGGCATCTCGCATCCCTAGGGGGTGGCGTGCACCTCAGATTAAGAGGAACCACCGCTCTAGACGTATGACCGCATCACCACAGTTGTCTGTTTGAGCTGAAACATTCTCATGCAGGTTTCATCATGTGCTTGTGCAATGACTCGATCATGCTCAAAAAACTGACCACGCTGAAGTACGACCGAGCTCCTTTCAACTCAATTTAACTAAAAAACGATGTTTTATTTTAGCACTGAGCTATGTAGATCTTTATCAGAAGCGACCTGGCCACTGCTGATAGCTCAACACAGTGGCTTATCGTTTGCAACTTTATAGCAGCCAACGCATGTTTCTATATGTGGAGGGAAAAACTGGGGGACCAGGAGAAATAATCCACGCGACTACGGGGTGAACATGCAAACTCCGAATACACAGGCGTGGGGTCAGGATCGAACCCACGACCTCCTGTATACCAGGCGATGTAGTTAACATCTCGCCACCTTGGCGCCTAACCGCACACCCCCTCTCTCAACAGCTGGATGAGACCCAGAACCAGGTTCGCCGACTACAGCGCTCGCTCGACGAACAGGTGGAGACCAGCGAGAACCTGCAGGTGCAACTCGAGCACCTTCAAACCCGGTACAGAGCACAACATTTAACTCCTTCCTGTTCTGAGACGTCTGCAAGGTGCAGGGCGGGTGGGTCCCGTTCACGGCTGAATCTCAGAACGCGCAAGCGCTTAGCGTAAATTTGATTTAGAGAGGTGTAGCGCCGTTGTTTATAAAAGACGTTGTACTCACCGTGGAGAACCATGGCGACACGACATGTACTCTACGATAGCTTGCGCCAAACTGTGCCACACGCCCTCCCACACGACCTTGTTGGAGCCTATGTACTGATAAAATCATTGTTTTTCTCCTCCAAAAATCCATTCCGATGATGCGTACACGTACGTCAACGGAATGGGAAATGGTTGATCAAGGTGCGATGCATTAGGAAGCCTCACTGAGGCTTTTAAAGACTCTTTCAGGAAGGTCCTGCATTTGGATGTTTGGCCAATTTCATTGCAGAGCGTTTGACACATGGGAAGGAAACCAGACTCATCGGCATCATCAGCAGTCATGATCAATTCACTTCTGGAATGAAGGCCACTCAAATGGCCTCCCAAATTTAGACGGAAATAAAAACAATTATGATTATGAAAGAAGGAAGCGCTGGTAATGCATGTCTCACCATGAAGAAACGCTATGCATGTGAGGGGGTAATGCTCAAATTCCATAAGAAATTGATTTAAGAATCCATTGCTGTACAGCCATTATCTGGCTACATCACAACCAAAGTCTACGACACCTGGTATTCCCATTTAATCTGCCATCCAAGTACTAACCGGGCATAGCTGCCAAGATCGGACGATATTGGTTGCATTCTTAGGCAAGTTACGTAATATAAACTTACCAAACCTTGATACACATCAATAATTACCCTCTGTAGTTATATTATATATATGATCAATTAATGTTATTCATTTACCTAAGAGAGCCTAGCAGATGTTTAACCACACTTTTCAGAGGAGTCCTGCTCAGGACATTTTGGCCAATTCCTTTTGGGGCATTTTATGCACAAGAGTTCCCACACAGACGCCGTACGTGAATCGGCTACCAACTTGCCATGCTGCTTTCCACTGACACCCCCCACTCCCAGCAGCCCTTGCGCGGGTGGACGATGCTTCACAGGACCGGCTTCGGTGCACCGCACCATCGCCCGCATGTGAGGTGCCGAGTTGGAAGGCGTGTGCCACCGTGCTTAGCCAGAGTTGGGCAAATCCAGCAGCCCTAGGCTGGGGTCTCGCTTATTTTTTTCTCCCTCTCGATGCGTTTCATATCTCACCATGTGCCACATGCACAAGATAAATGGCAACGCGTTCAGTCGGCAAATGCCACAACTCCATCAGCATGCGGAGTCCAGGCTTATTCACATTCAAGCAACAAAGTCGTACCGCATCTCAACATCCCCAGTGTAATAGATGCAATTGAGAATTACGGAGCTGCGTGTGAATTCTAATGCAGAGTTAATGTTGTGGATGAATATGCCATGGTGATATCGTTTTCTTCACGGCATTTTGTTCGCAACTGTCGGTTTATTTATATATATTCGCTAGTTTATTCATTCTTTGTTTAGTTTACAAATTGATTTGTGCAAATGGGCAAAAGCGTCATCGGTTGTTGAGTTTCGCAATCGGGAAAAAAACAGGATTGAAGTGTATATGGAAATCGCATAAAATAAAGCCATGTTAAATAATGTGTGCCATTTCAATGCCATTTTTCCATTTGGCCCTCTGCTGCAACGCATCTGCAAGAGTCGAGGCTGTGTTTCATTCCATAGTGTGCTCGGCCCTTGCATTTGCAAACGGTGTGGGGACGTGAATTCCTCTGATGCAGAATGAGAATGTGGGACGAAGAGTAAAAGGTTCAGAATGGTACCTTAATGAAACGTTGACTTGCATTTTTTTTTAATTCACAGCAGGCACGCAAACAACAAGGCGGGGGAGCGTAATGCCAGCATCAGTCCTCTGGGCCAATACGTTCTGACATTCATTTTAAAAGCCCCATTGGGGTGTGTTATTGTGAACGTGGGTGGTGACCTGTCATCCCCATCTCAGCTCTTCGTGTGTCTTCTGGCCCCATTTTCCAATTAAAAGCTTTTGTGCTCCCTAACTACAGCCCTTGCCACCGGTACCAAAATACCAAAGACGCCACTCTTGCGGATGACACTGGCTTCAATCGCTGGCTCGAGTGATGACTGAGACAGCGTGCGGTCCACTTCCCCACCACTTACCACACCGGCAAAGAGCTTTCGTGTACACGCTGCACTGAGTGATGTGGACTGCACAACCACTCGTCTTGCAATATTGTTTTTTGCCAGAATGCCTTGGTTTGTCTTTCTGACCTTTGAGCATTTTTCCAGCGCGCTAACTATCCGAGCAGTTAGTTAACAGCCATTTGATTTAGTTTGGAATATTTCACGGTGGTATGATGTTGTCCAGGGACAGATACTTGATTTAAAAATAGTTATTATTCATAGAAAGGGAGTGGAAAGATCTTAGTCGATTGTTGATGGGCAGAAAGGAAAAGGTGAATATGTAGATTGCAGACTATATTAGTTTACATTGTTCAAAAAAAAGATCCCCCGTCTAGCCAAACAGACTGTAGGGGCAAGTGCTGTTAGCGAGCACCTATGAAGGCCGGCACGGCACACGAGGGGGTGGGTGGCCAACACCACGTCCGGCCGCCTTTGTCTCCCTAGTAGCGATGCTCACACATCGCACCAGGTACTCATTTGAGGCTGAGTCGACCTAGGGGAGGCCCAGGACCGGTTCAGATAATCGTCACTGGTGTTGGCCGTGAGCGGAAATCGAACCCGGGTCGCCAGGTTTGTAGCGCAACACGCCAACTGCTACACTACCACTACTTTGTACAGTACATACATGCACATACAGCATGTGCGCACATAAATTAATTTTGCATATATAACATAAATATAAGGGGTGGAACGGTGGTTAGCGCACTACGCTATGAACCCTGCAACCTGCTGTCCTGTCCCAGCCTTGGCGAACATCCTTGGCTTGTGTTCTCTGCCATTGGTTCCGTGCCACCAGCAACCGACACTAACTAGCAGTGGGTTGACATTGGGAGTTCAAATGAATGAGTATATATGATCATACAAGAACAAGGAGAACATTTGGTAAAAGCATACCAATGCAATTGTTGCAACACCCTTTTCAAAACATTGATCTTGTTTTATATTTTAGAGAGTGCCTGAGCTCGCGGGCGCTTTACATCGTTTTAAAAAGCAGTAACAAAAAAAACACAAGAGGCTAAATTTAGATGACAGGGAGGCGTACAAGGGCCGAGGAATGAGTGGCCACAAGAGAGGGCACACAGGGGTCACGAAAGGACAAAGGAGGGACGGGAAGGAGTGGAGGGGCGAGGCGAGGGAAGAGGAAGGGAACGTAATTTCATGGCCTGTCTTCACGTCTGCCGTGAGTGTACTTGAGTGTCACGCCGAGCATCAGGAGCATACATTAGTATTGACAGTCGCGAATTATTATTGTTAAAAAAAATCAATAATTTGGCCAATTGTTATTGAAAATATGTCATTCGATTGCCTTAGCAATATAATCGAGTCAATAACCTTGGTACCTTAAATTATTCCTGGCAACACACACGCCATAATTTTTTGCTGATGACAGTGTTGGATGGGATATACAGTATGGTTTATTAATAGAGCCTTCAAATCGCTCCTAAACTTTTTCACAACATTTATAACGGTAGAATACTTCTTCAATCAATGATCACACGCCTAAGGCAAGCTTATTATGCAAACACGTCAAACAGAGGCAAGAGGTGTCTGTTCCTGAACCCATTAAGGCAGTACCGGATATCCTAGTAGCAAAAGAAGCTGCATATGTAGTAGCTACGGGCCCCGCACTTTCAAGGGCCCCACACTAAATGCTTTCAAGCTATCAATTCCCGTTCAGTGATTCTGCACTTGCTTTATTACTATAGTACCATACTCACTTCAACTTTTATGAACGACCGGGTGTTTAAGGTTATCGATTTGTCGTATTATCTGGCTGTATAGAAAATGAAAAAAATACAATTACTTTAGTATGCAAGTGAAAAATGTGTTTTAATATTTAAGTGTTGTTTTTTATTATTATTTTTATTTAGAGCCCCTTTATAAAGTATGCTACAGGCCCCGCACTAGTTTAATCCGGCACTGCCTGAAGGGCAATCAAGGCACCAGCCCTATTAATATTATAGGATCCGGTGCCAAATTATGTATTTTGTATTTTACAGCTCATTAGTAACAAGCAGCAAGCCTATAGGCTACGGGGACGTACGGTCTTCACTGCGAATAATGTAGTCTGCAACCAGTGTTAATGTATTAATTAGTTTATATTTTAGTCGTAGTCTCGGTCTTGTTGAACGCAACCTGTGGAATTTAAGTCGGGTCTTGGTCTTTGGATTCCATGCAGTCATTATCTTAAACAGATAAAATAAATAGTCCTCTGATGTGAGGGGTGTGCAATTGTCCCTTGCCTCCCTCCCCCAATATTATCAGGTCAGCCAATCAATGAATTCATTAGATATTTTGATTCACTTGCGATGAATTACACCATACTTCGGTCTTCCTCACTCCTTTGCAGTCTCTAATAACGCTACTAAATTATTGCCTGAGTCTGTGTCTTCACCGAGGTCCATTAATTACGTCTCATCAGTTGGTCACGCTTTGTGCGATGGTGGGTCAGTAGTCGTGTCGTAGGCACCGCCAAGCCTTGGTTTCCATGCGCTCGTTGTCATCATTGACTAAAAGTAAAATAAAACGCTACCGTTTGATGAATATTTTTCGTTACCAATTTCGTTAAGAATCTGAACCGTGCCTGCAACGTGGCAACGGCGTGTAGGCCAGGGGCGTTGTTTAGTTGGGCACAAAAGCCACCTTTGTCCGCCCTTCCACACCCTAAAGCTTCTCTCGAAAAAAAGCCATGTTAACCCCAGTGTCCTCAGTGAAACCCCACTGCAGCTAAAACATTTTTTTTTTAAATCCCATGACCGAATTATCCATAACTGGCTGTC